TTTTTTTTGTTTTGTTTTAGAGGGCATAAAAGGATCTCATCCACAGCATGTGCCTGGATTCTTGAATTTAAAAACACCCTCTATCCTCCTAGCTCAGAAGTATCTTTAGTTGTTTTGAACTTCCTCTCTAAGAGTAAGGTTCCTGTTTCAAACCCAGCTCCTTGTTCTGGGAAGGGAAGATTTGGCCTGCACATGGTTGAGTGTGGGTTAGATCCTCCAAAAAAAGAACAGATGCTTTCCTCAGCCTTTGTCAGGCTACTTGCTACCAGCCAACTGTGTATAGTGCTCCATCACTTTCTTTGAGCTCTTGTTATTTGGTGGGCCCCTTATTATGCTAAAGAGGAGATAAAGAATGTCCTCTGAATCCCCCTCCCTTTCCTTCAGCTCTCCTCTTCTTACTTGACTTGAAAGGCAGTTGGAGTCCTGAGTCAAAACTTCTTGTACTTGGGAGCAGGGTTTTGGAGGGACTATGGTTACTGACCCCCAGTGAGTTCAAAGACCCTCATGAGCTCCAGGGTGGTGCTTGCTTCTCAGACTTGTTTCCAGCATGGGTCTGGAGTAGACCTTTCATTGATGACAAAGTTTCCAGGGATATCAATGCTGGCAATTTACAGACCACCCTTGAGTAAATAGAAAGGGTCCCCTCTCCACACACACCCCTTTTTTTCTTCTAGGTTTGGGAATTATGAGCTATCCATTGTACACACAAAGCCTTATTAAGGCTAAGGCTTTTCGATTCCCTTTAATGAGCCAAGTTTAAGGGAGGAAGATTTTAATCGCTCTCTCTCTCTCTCTCTCTCTCTCTCTCTCTCTCTCTCTCTCTCTCTCTCTCTCTCTCTCTGGATTGAAGCCCTGGTCTTCCAATTGAGCTATATCCCCAGCCCCTGGTTCTTAAAACCTTGCACCCATTAGTGTGGATGTTACCAAAGAAACAAAAGAAGTATATGTTGGCTGTGGAAAAATTGTTACCTTGTGAAATGTTGGGATTGTGAAAGGGTGCAGCTACTACGGGAAACAGTATAGAGATTCCTCAAAAACTTTAAAAATAGAGCTGCCATATGATCCAATAGTTCTGCTGCTTGGGGTATATACCCAAAGGAAATGAAATGCATATTTCAAAAAGATATCTGCACTCTTGTGTTTATTGCAGCACTATTCATGGTAGCCAATATATAGAAACAACCTAAATGTCCATCCCAAGATAAAAGGTAAAGAAAAGATGATGTATATGTACAATGGAATGTTATTTAGTCTTTTCAACAAATTTTTTTTTAAAAAGGTGAAAAGTCCTGTCATTATTGATGAGGATGAATCTATAGGTTATTATGCTAAGTGAAATATGCTAGTCACAGTTACAGAAGGAAAAATACTACATGATTTTACTGATGTTAAGTAGGTAAAATAATCATCTCATAAAAACAGTAAAATGAATGGTGGTTGTCAAGGACCAGAAAGAGGGGGAAATAGGGAGTTGTAGCTAAAGCTTCAGCCATGTAAGATAGGTAACGTTCTAGAGACTTATTGTTAACAAAACTATATTATACATTTCAAGTTAAGATAAAGTAGAGTCATATTGGGTTTGATATGGTTCTTACCATATTATAGATGCTGAGAGGGATTGGGGATGTGGCTGAGTTGTAGAGTGCTTACTAGGCAAGCCTGACACACTGAGTTCAACCCACTACCCTCAACCCCCACCCCACCAAAATGAAAAAATATGAGGAATCTACTTCTGAAAAGGAATTCTTTCTAGGATATAAAGCTAACTTATTTGGAACAGAATCCTATGATAAAAAACTGGGGATGGACATTTGGGGCCAAGTAGTTGAAAAATGTGCCTGAGATCAGGGCCTTTCACAAATCCTGGCCCTTGCTCCCCTAAGGTAGTAAGTATAGGAATCTCCACAAATGGCCCCAGGTGTTATCTTGTATCACTGAGAAAAACAGAAGAGCAACTTTCTGTAGCTGAGGAACCCTTATTTCCTTTCCAATCCTATTTGAGCCTGAATGTTGGGAAAAAATCCGCATTTGCCACAGTGAAGGAATCAGCTTCTACTCATCCTTCAGTTCTTCCAAGAAGGTGGGGTGTATTTTTGTTTTATGTGATAGTGGGGATTGAACCCAGGGGCATTCTGCCATGGGCTACATCCCCAGCCCTTTTAATTTTTTATTTTGAAATGGGGTCTTGCTAAGTTTCCTAGACTGGCCTCAAACTTGTGATCTCCTTGCTTTAGTGTCCCAAATCACTTTGATTACAGGTGTGCACTATACCCAGCCAATTCTTGGCTTAAATGTTAATTTCTCCAGAGGATTCTATCAGCTACTGGAGAATAATAATTCATTCCTTAACTGCATCTGTTCCCAGAGTTCCCTGTAATTCCCTCACTTACAGTTCTTACTTAATGTAGGTCTTCTCCAGTAGATTCTAAATTTCCTGTATGTTTCTTATGTCCCTCAGTTTGTTTGTCTCTGATACATCACTTTGGCCTAAAATTACTGATAGCTATTAGGCACTCAATGATTATGTCTAAAATAAGTGGAAATGTCACCTACTTTTGAGGCCTACCATTTTTCACTAGAAAATAGGAAACAAGCAATTTATGTATAATCTTACATACAAGTTCATTGCTGGAAGTAGTGGCACACACCTGTGATCTCAGCAACTCAGGAGGCTGAGGCAGAAGGATCACAAATTTGAGACTATGCTGAGCAATTCAGCAAGACCCTGTCTCAAATAAATAAATAGGCTCATTCCTTAGCAGTTTTTGATCTTGATTTCTATTGGCTATTCTTTCCAAGGTACTCAAGGGTTTTTGTTCTGTAGTTGTATTTGTGGCACCAACATGTATTTCAAAGTCTCAAGAGAGTCTCTTCTACCTCCAGAAATAGAGACTGCACATAAATAGAGATCATCACTGATTTCCAAAGGGCAGGAAACAGCCAGTAGGTACAGATTGAAAGGACCAGCTCAGGAGCTGGAGCAAGTAAACATCTCTGAGAAACTATTACCTTTAGGCAGACAATTAAGAACTTTTAAGTTTCTTGTATTTTTTTTTTCAGGCCCCATGCCCTTAGCAGTCTCTGGAGATTCCTGAGCAGATCTGTTGTTAGCCACCAAGGAAAGCAGCTATGTTACATTTCATAGCTATTTCCTGTAGCTTTCTGTGCTAGTAACTCATGTTTGACATGACAGTTTACAACAATGTAGCTTTTTTTCTGAAGTTGCTTATCAAAATTGAATGTGTCAGATACCCAATATTTTGAGGCCAGTAATTAGCTAGGACATTTTTACTTATGTAGATGCCTGTAAAACATCTTTTCTTTACCAATAGACTCAACCATTTTTCATAGTCTGGGTAGACTATAGCATTGGTAAGAAAAGCAAACAGAAGAGAAGGAATGTGGGATGAGGTGTTTGACTCCCTTGCCTCCCAGAAATGAGGTCTGTTAATGGGAGCAGAGGCTCTGGGGTGGGAGGTCCTTCCTCCCCAGACCTCATACTGTTCATACCCATTTCTCTTTAATTGATTCCCCCTTCCAGTTCTTTTCAGTTTAAATCCTTTTTCCTCTTTATCCCATTTATTCTTACTTTTCCTGCTCCTAATTTTTTCTCTCCAGTCCCTTTTAATTAGAACAAAGGGCAGGTAGAAAGTAATTTTTTTTTCTTTTTCCAGTGCTGAGAATCAAACTCACATCCCTGTGCATGCTTTGCAGTTTTTTTTTAATTTATTTATTTTAATTAGGAATATATAACAGCAGAATTCACTTCGGTTCATTGTATACAATTGCAGCACAACTTTTCATTTCTCTTGTTGTACATGATAGAGCGTAACCACACCATATGTGCAGTCTTACCTAGGGTAATGATGTTCATCTTACTCTACCATCTTTCCTGCCCCCATATGCCCTCTCCTTGCCTCCTCCCCTACTTTGCTCAAAGTTCCTCCATTTTTCCCATGCCCTCCCCCTTTATGGATCAGTATCCACTTATCAGAACATTCAGCCTTTGGATTTGGGGGTTGGCTTACTTCACTTAGCATTATATTCTCCAATTCCATCCATTTATCTGCAAATGCCATAATTTAATTATCTTTTAATGCTGAGTAGTATTCCATTCTGTATATATACCACAGTTTCTTTATCCATTGAAGGGCATCATGATTGGTTTGTGAATTGAGATGCTATAAACATTGTGAATTGAATGCTATAAACATTGATGTGGCTGTGTTACTATAGTATGCTGATTTTAAGTCCTTTGGGTATAGACCGAGGAGTGCATAACTGGATCAAATGGTGGTTCCATTCCAAGTTTTCTAAGGAATGTCCATATTGCTTTCCAGAGTGGTTGCACCAATTTGCAGTTCCACCAGCAATGAATGAGTGTGCCTTTTCCCCCACATCCTCGTCAGCACTTATTATTGCTTGTGTTCTTGATAATTGCCATTCTGACTGGTGTGAGATAAAATCTTAGAATAGTTTTAATTTGCATTTCTCTAATTACTAGAGATGTTGAACATTTTTTTTATGTATTTGTTGATGGATTGTATATCTTCTTCTGAGAAATGTCTGTTCAGCTCCTTAGCCCATTTGTTGATTGGGTTGTTTGTTTTTTTTTTTTTTTTTTTTTTTTTGGTGTTAAGCTTTTTGAGTTCTTTATATATACCAGAGATTAGTACTCTATGACGTGCGTGTGGCAAAAATTTGCTCCCAAAATGTGTTCTCTCTTCACCTCATTGATTGTTTTTCTGTTTTTTTTTTTTTTTTTTTACCTGAGAAGCTTTTTAGTTTGAAGCCGTCCCATTTATTAATTCTTGATTTTATTTCTTGTGCTTTAGGAGTTTTGTTAGGGAAGTTGAAGCCTAATCAGATGTGATAAAGATTTGGGCCTGTTTTTTCCTCAATTAGGTACAGGATCTCTGGTCTAATTCCTAGGTCCTTGATCCACTTTGAGTTGAGTTTTGTGCATGGTGAGAGAGATGGGTTGAGTTTCATTTTGCTTTTTTGCATGCAGTTTATCACTGAGCTACGTCCCTGACCAGAAGCAAACATTTTTGTATGTGGCCTGAACCAGTCGTTGTAAGCTCAGGGTTTTTTCATGAATTACTCATTTAACCTCCCTACCTCTCATTCTGCTTCTTATTTACATTATGGCCATAATGACACTAATTGGGCAGTAAGAAATGTCAAGTGAAAAAGGAAAGTTAGTGCTTTTAATAAAATGAGTTTTTTTCCTTATCTATGCCATCTGCAAATCCTTTTCACTTAGATTTGATGCTATTGGAAAACAAGTCTTGACAATTTTCATTTATTCAGGCGGCTGCTTATCCAATTTGGCAATTATCACTTCCTTCTCTGGTCTCTCCTGCTGCTACTCTTATCTTAGCCTTTTCACTGTTCCTCCTCCACTAGGCAAGGAGAGGGAGAAGAAAATAAAACCTAAGCAGTAAATGCTGTAACTTATTTTAATTTCATCAGTTGATAACTGTGAGGCAGTCTATAGGTTTGGGATGTACAACATTTAGGACTAATTGTTTTGAATTTTAAAAAAAACAATCACTATCTGGTCTGGATTGTGGCTTAATGATAGACTATGTGCTAGCATGTGTGAAGTTCTGGATTCAGTCCCTAGTACCAAAAATAAAAAACAAAAAAATTTGAAATAATTTTGAAAAGTTTCTGTCTTACAGGCACCTTTTGGTATTGTGAGCCAAAGTGGACTGACTGATGATATGGTCCAGAATATACCTAGGGCAAGTAGTTGAGTGCTTCTCAGTAAAGGAGCCTGGAAAGCCTGCTTGCCTTCCCCCTTCTTCAGCAAATAGCTCTTGAGTATACACTATTCTGGAACCACAGCTAAACAAAACAGAAACCCCAACAGTGGGGATTCATGGAGGTGCTATGCTTATTATCTATGAAAATAACTCAACTCTCTCAAAATATAGAATGTCAGCCTCATTCTGGCAGGAACATTTGGTATTACCTGCTGAGATAGAAAGATCAAAAGTCATTCCCCCCCCCCTTCATTTCTGCCTGATTACTGCATCTCCAAGATTAACATGGTCTGTTGAAACAGGGTTGACAGACTCTGGAGAAGCAGAGTCTTTACTGTTATGTCCCCAGCTTTATTTAGAGCAGCCATCTCTTTCTTCCCCTGGAAGTTCAATCTTCTTCCATGAGACTGCTCTCCAAGAGCTTTGTATTTGTGTTTGCAGAAGTTGGAATCTGGAGAGCAATATTCCTTGTGGATTAATTGCCAAAGTAATTATATTGTAAAATAATATGCATGATTGATACTTGATATATGCCTCTCCAGGGAGCTGGAGAGCTTCATTGATTTGGAGAGATGAGCCAGTCACTAATTCAGGAGCAGAACTTGGTAGGAAAAGCCAAACTGATGGCCTGGACCTAAAGGCCAGGAGCAGGTGATGGGATCTGGATGAAGTGCAAGCATCATAATCATAAAGAGTGCTGCACCAAGCAGTGTCCCAGCAGTCACATCTTAAGAAATCACAAATCTCTAGGAGGTGCCAGGCTGCAGGGTGAGAGGCTAACAGCATGTCCTCATGTTCAGACTCTTGCCTTGTTCAGAATGAGCATCCCTAGAATCTGCAAAGGGACATGCCAGTGGAAAATTTCCCTGCTGCATTCTTGCCACCATCACCAGCACTGATTTGAAGGATACTGGCTTGAAAGCATTATCTGGCACTTCTGTTGAGTCTCTTCCTCTCCCTTCTGTTTGAGCAGGGCACGTGCAGCCTTTCCAAGTGGGTGGCGTCCACATAAGGAGGATGCCTTATTTATTTTGGGTCCATGAGCTTGTGTAACATGCCTATTTAACACCCTCCTAAAAGCACTGTCAGCACATGAGCAAGTAAGGAAGCCCACTAAATCCTGCCTCTTCTGAGCACAGTGAGCTGTTGAAGGTTGTTCCTGCAGCTATGTATTTATGGACAGGGGCTGGAGTTATGACATTTATCTCTGTTGGTTAGGGTACTGATATATATCTGCCTACATCTTCCATGGAGAGCTGCACCTTATCTTGAGAGAGAGCAATGAGAGTGCTCCCGTAACTTATCCTGCCCAGCACTACTGGGACTGCCTGTGGGAGGCCACTTCCCCCTCCTAACCAGGGGCTCTTAGAGGGAGCGCGCTATTATATGTACAATGGGGGCTTTGCTGATAAAGTTTTCTAGGATATAAAACAGGAGAGCAAAAACTACAGCTCCTTAATAAGCTCTCCTCTGGGTGTCACATTCTGATCTGCTTCCAGGCATGACCTCTTCCTCAGGCATAGTGTCAGGAATCTTTGGGGGTTTTATGATCAGTTTATTCTCAGACAGCATTCCTTTTTCCTTACGAGTCTTCCTGCTTCTGGCCTTGTGACTCTTCTGGTCGGTCTTCCTTCTGTGACCATCCCAAGGGCCCTGGGGGTTGAAGTGGTCAGGAGGGACTCCAAGAAGGCCTACGGCTTCAGCAGAATACTGAAGGCTGTTTCCTGGTCTCTCTCAGTGATTATTCCTGGCTTGCTGCTGAGTTCCAGGGATAGGAGCAAACCACAGTTGAGGACAGATTATTGCCTCCTCATCTCAGGCATGATGCTGTGGTTCAAGCAGTCTTGTGGTCATAATATGCATTGGTGAGTCTGTGTGTGTGTGTGTGTTTTGCCACCATCTTCTTGACACTGTCCTTTTATCATTATTTTACTGCACATGCATTATCACCATATCCCACACTGTGTAACTTACTTGTTATCTTTTTCCCCTCCTCAGAGTATAAGGTCCATGAGGCAGGGATTCTTGTTTCTTCATTCCCTGCTATTTCCTCTGCACCTAGAGCACTGACTGGTTCAAAAGAGACATTGATTCAGCAGTGACCACTCTCTGAACAAGACCCTAGAGGCCTTGTAGAAACATTTACCAGTTTGCTCTTCATGGCCAGTGGAACAGCAAACTATTAAATTGCATAGTCCTATAGTTCCATCCCTAATTCCCCCAAGAAAATAGTATAGTTTTTCTTAAGAGGTGTCTTGCCATGTTACCCCTGTTGCTTCTGAGCCTTGGGAATAGAGAAAGAGAAATAACAACATTTTAGACCATGTTGGCATCCTGTGAAACCAGCAAAGCAGCCCTTAGTAACTTTTCTCTCCTGCAGAGGTTCTCAGCATCCTGAGGAAAACCTGGCCCTGTGTGTTTAGCCAGTTTGATGGCCATGTCATTGGGAGAATGCCTTTAATGAAGTAAAACTCATTCCCTTTCTTCTGTGGTTACAACTGCCATCCTATTCGTTCAAAACACAGAATAACAATATGACCTCCTTAGTTTCTTTTTTCAGACTGCTATCTCTTGGGAGTCTATTGTTTCTGTTTCATTTGGACCTTTCAAATAATGCCAAGATGGAGGCATCAACTGAGCAGCCTTTATTACACAGAGGTCTGGGTCTATATTCCTCCGCATTCTTAGACTAGGAATTATGTGATGGTGGTGGTGATGATGGTCATGATGATGTCTGTAGCTAATGGGGTCATGATAAGCTGGTATGGGAGTTCATGTTTAAGGCTGGAGGACTTAAAAAATACAAAATGAACTACCAAAAGTCCCCAGCAAAATCTTCTGAAAGACCAGTAGTTCAAGGCCCACCCAGATTCAAGATTCAGGTCAGCTACTGGAAACTTGGCACATTCAAATTACACTTGTTCTTGCCACCCAAAGATTGAAAACTTTTCTTGAATGACTTTAGTGGATACTTCACCAGTTCTTCTATATGCTTTATAATGAAATGTCTAATATAATACACATAGTAATCCTATTTTCATTTAATATACATAATAATCCTATTTTCATTTTAATTTTTGTTCTGTTCTACTGGTAAGGATACTAATCCCTGGGCTACATACATGGCAACATGTATGTCACACATGGTGGCCCTGAGGTGTAGAACAAGATGAACCCTTAACCTCTTTACTCTACCTTTGAATACCAGGGTTGACACAGTGTTGTAAACATACTACTTTTGTAGAGCTGGGGTTCAGGTTTCCCATAGAAATTCAAGCTTCTGTCATGATAAGCTGATATGGGGTTCCATGTTGAAGGCTGGACCCCCAGGCTTCTGTTTGAATATATGTGAAGCCACTGAATAAATGCAACAGATCTTTAGTTCTTCAAAAGTCCTCATGGACTTCTCTGTCTAGCTTGCCTGCTCCTTCTCTGTGGAACTCTGCCTGCTGCTTTGGAAAGAGACAAGTGGGGCTCTCCCCAGCAGCAGCTGCCTGCCTACCTTCTCTCTGGGCCTCTGCAGAATACATAGGGGAGGCTGCAGAGGGGAGTCAGTGGACTGCATATTAGAGGCATTCACTATGAGGACAGAGCAGAACCAGTGACTTCTGCCCCCTGAATTCTCTTAACAAAGAAAGTTCAGCCTGAGTGGGGTGTAGGGATGGTGAGAGAGCATACCTGGAAGGTAACATGCTCAACCATTGCTGCTCTTTACAGTTCTAAGGCAGTGCTCAGGTGACTGGTTAATAAAAATGAATATACTGTTGGAAGCTACATTTGTGTGGGGCTTTTTGTTGCTGTTGTTAAATTGGCTAATTTAACACTATCCTAGGATGGCAGTGATGATAATAGCAGCAGCCCACGAGTTCAGGAAAAGGTGGGGCAGTTCGCTCCAGAGCTTCCCCAGGCATTGCTCTTTGAGGAAATGGGATAAACAATAGCTAGACATCCGCTGGCAAGAGCCCTTGGGACTCTGCAGCATGCTTACCAGATCTGCATGGGTCCTGGGGATGCCACTTAGGAGTTTTCTCTGCACACTACGTTGTAATCATTTTTTTTATCCACATTCCCACACATGGTGCTGTCTATATATTTATTCATCCCTGGATGCCATTTTAACAATGGCTTTCCATTTCACACATAGTACAAGCCAGCATCTTACTCTGGCTTACCTTCCTTGCCCTGTGCTTTCTCTCTCATCTCCTATACCTCCCACTTCACTGTCTGCTCCTGGACTATGGCCTTTGCACTTGGTACTCTTCTCCTGGATGCCCCTGTGGCTCAGTCTTCCCATTCCTCCAGACCTTTGGTTGGATGCCACCTTCTCCACAAGGTTCTTCCTTATTCTCCTCTTTAAAATTACAAAGCATCCTCTCACTCTCCTTCCATGCTTTATTTTCCTTCATGGCACTGTCACCATCTATAAGAATATATATTTTACTTGTTTCTCTTGCTGTTTCCACCAGAATGTCAAGTTCCAAGAAGGCAAGATTCTGTTTTGTTCCTTGCTATGTGTAATCCCCAGCATGTAGAATGATGCCTTACACATAGTAAGATCTTGATGAAGCCTCTGTCATTTTTTTCCCCTGGGTCCACATGACAATACCTGGACCAGTATCATCCCTGTTGACACAGACTCTGTTTTTCTCAAGCTTCTGGAATAGATTCGCATATTGATTTCTAGCCAAAGGCAGGGATGGGGCATAAGCAATAGGCAGTTGGTAAGTCAGGGCATGATGTGGAACTGCCCACATTCCACATTCACGTTACAGGTCCAAACATTATTAGTACCAACCCTTGCAACAACAAAAATGATCCCTACCTCCCCACACACATACATTTTCTAATACCCTTTGAAGGTTGATGATGATGCTGCTCCTTGAAAACCGCTTATCTTTAGTAGAATAAAGAAAACATTTTATTACAGTCATCTAGAAAGGGGTAGGGTGCACAAGTTCTGTTGAGGAACATTGAGGACCCATCTGAGGTTAAGTAATTATGAATTAATAATGAAATTCATTCAACCTGCTTATATGTCGCATTCAGTTCAGCGACATATAAGCAGCCACAGGGGAGGCTTCAGTAGCTGAGAAAGAAGATATTAAATCTGTATTCACCATGATCCTTCTGTGTTGATTTGTGAAAAAGAAATGGACTAGGTTGTCATCTAATGGACTAGTTGTCATCACTCAGATCTTCTCTGAGTGATACTTTAGGAAGGAGATTAAGACCAAATTTTGAGACCCTTTAAGGGATTATATCCAATGCTATAGTGTTATAATGAAACTTGGAGTAAAACTCCGCTTCTGTGAGATTCCATACTTGCCTTCCAGCTGCCCAGGAACATACTGGGATGAATCTTGGTGAAATCACAAGGGAAGGTAAGTCTTAGGAAGAAAGTTTTCTAGTCCCATGTCTTGGGAGGCATAGGCTCGTCTCTAGCAGAGGGTGCTCCAAGCCTTATAAAATCAACCTGCCTTTTCCTGGTGAAAGTGGTCATTATTAAATGTATCACTATCCTCTTGGACTACAGAAAAATGCAGATAAAGACCCTCTGTAGGTTTTTCTGTATCCAGAGCATTTTATCCAGATAGTTTATTACGTTTGAAGATGATGGAAATATTTATATATTTATACCTACTTTACACAATTAAAACTACTTGGTAAATAAAGTAAGATAAAGTTGTAATATATAGTGGATATAAATATAAATATCTTTATCCATGAGGGATATATTTCAAGACCTCTAGTAGATGTCTGAAACCACAAATAGTAAGCAAGCCCTATGTATGTATTCTCTTTCACATACATACCTGTGATAAAGTTCAATTTATAAATTAGGCACAGTAAGATTAAGAACAATAACTAATAATAAACTAGAATATTATTACAATATACTGTTATAAAGTTTAAGTGAACATGATCCCTGCTTCTCTCCCTCTTAAAGTATCTTACTATACTTTCACATTTTTACTTAAAAGAAGCACTTTCCTGAATTTCTTTGGCATATCTGAATTGCCAGCATCATTATTCTTGCACTTTGAAGCCATGCTTAAGTTAAGTAAGGCTCTGTAATACCACAATGGTCAGTCTGATAACCATGGCAGCCAGTAAGTTACTAACAGCAGGACGACCTGAGATTTCATCTCACCGTCCAGGATGGCATGTCATTTAAAACTTAGGAATTGTTTATTTCTGAAACTTTCCACGATTGACCATGGGTAACTGAAACTTTGGGAAAGCAAAATTGTGGGTAAAGGGAGACAACTGTATTGCCTGTGTGTATTTTTTTATAATAATCAGTGGCAATTTTTTTCTTACAATAACTACAAATAATGTTTACTTACATTTTCTTTACAAGTGAAGCTACATGACAGCGAGACCTAGATTCAGGCATCTTCGTTCTGAGCTACTTGAAAAGCAGACTAAAGCTTGAGAATAAGAGAAACCTTTGGAAGGTAGTAAAACAAAAAATTAGATTCTTGATTGAGTGTTTGCTACTATTAAAAAAAAAATGTGAGAAGCAATCATTTTCAAGAAAGGAGGGAAGAAAGCAGAACCTAAAACCAAAACAACCAAAATTTGAATACTACTTTTGCCATGTGAGATTGTCTAATCAGCCTCATTTTCTTCTATTGCCATCATCAGCCTCTGTTTGTTCTGATGCTTCATTTTTAGTATCTTCATAGGCTTATGAAAGCAGAAAGATTGCCTGGGTTGGAACAAGCCTCTCTACCATTTTCTGAACCAGAATAAATCAATGCAAATGCCAGTGGCCGCTCCCACTCGAGACCTTTGAGACCTAGTTGGAAGCAAAGCTAGGTGAAAATCAGCAAACAGGACACCATCCTACAAAAGAGTTGCCTGCCGGAAGCAAAAGGGCATTCCAACATTCCCTTCCAGAACTGATCAGCCTGACTATTCTCCCCACCTCTCCTGCAAGAGGCAATAATCTGATCCTGCAAGCATTTTAATATATGGCAAAACTTAGATATTAGCAGTAGTGTTTAAAGGTGATAGCTACATTGGTGCACTTGAGGTATGCCTTTACTTGTTATTATTAAAAAGAAACAGTAATTCTGGAGAATTCTAATATAAAACTGAAGTACTCTTTGCATAAGGGAGTATGATGGATTCTCGCACTGCTTGGAATTGCTGTGCTAGAAGGAAGATGGGGAAAGGGAATGAATATAGTCAAATAAATTAAGCCCTGAAACTCAAATACTGCTGTGTAAGCAAGCCAACTACAAATCAAACAGAGAAGTGTTTGCTAAAGAATACGTGATCTTAGTTGAAGCTGAATGAAACCAGGCTCTTTGTACATATGTGTATATTTCTCTTGGCATGTGCAAAGACTGGTTTCCCTTGTCTGAGACTTCTTTGGCACAAAGTATCATCCATCCATGAAGAAGAAAACAAAAGAGTCATTTTCCCCAAATGGCAAAGGTAGACTTTTCAAGTATAGACAAGCCTGTTGGCAATGGGAGACAAAATGTGCCTCATTCCTCTACTTTCCTAAGGATTCCCATATTTCTGATGTTCTAGATATATATATATCCTGGAAGGTCAGATCATGGTGTGGGTCTCTTTACTCTCCAATTCCTCCCTACAGATTGCTATGACAGCCATCTATAGGTGTTGTTGAGTACTGTCCAATCATATTATTTTATAGATGAGAATGCAGAGACAAAATGAAATGGAGTGGCACTGTCTTAGTCACAAATTGGGTTAGTGGCACAGCAGGAGCCTCATCCACTGGACTCTCAGCTCTATAGCTTGTTTTCAGGCATAGCATGTTCTTAACTTGCCTTTTTTTGAACAGATAGCTCTCAACTCAGAGCCAAAGCTACTTTCAGCATCAGTTCAAATGACACTGTAATCTCTTGGAGTGGATAGAAAACTATGGAGTAGCGCATATTTTCTTCCTCCTTAGAACCTCAAGTCAAGTCAACAATTTCTTTCTAGTTTATTCTGATTGTATTCTATTTGATCTATTTTTCTCTAGAGTTGTTAAACAGCCTAAGGCCAAAATCATTATGTTCTGACCCAAACAAGGAGATCAGGGCAGCTCTGTTCTAGGCTGTGTGAAAGTGCAAAGCATGGGCAGGGTGCAGCAAATTGTCTGCTTTACCTGGCATATAGATGGCAACCCAAGTGTGAGAGGTAAGACTGGGCTTGTGTATTTCTCAGTGGAGGCACTGGTGGCATTTGGGAAACAGCATCTTGTGGGGATGTCCCATGAATTGTAGGATGTGTAGCATCTTGGCTCCCCTCCCAAATGCCATATCACTCTGCCATCAGAAACTTCTTTTCAGTAAACCAACCTCAATCTGCATTCATTCCCGGGGGGCATATTGCACAGCTATCACATCTGCTGGTGGGTAGGCGTATTAGGAGGGGTCATCAACAGCTCACGAGGTTGAGAAGCTGACACATGTCTTTTCAGTAGGGTTAGTGGCATCCAGAGAGAAAACTCCCATGCCACCTTGATGCTCATATACAAGGTAGTGGTGGGAATGGGGGTGGTGGGGAATACATGTGTTTGCTGAAATCACAATGGAGAAAATCAGCCAGGAATGTAATTTCTGCTTTCTTGTAGCTGTCACTTGTTGCCATCTATATTGTATCTTTCTGGGAGCATCTTAACTGCAGCTTGATTCACTCCTTCCTGAGTTCTCAGCTATTTTCTGTCCTTCATGCTTCACAAAACTTAGCCAGGAATCCATCCTGGGACCTAAGAGATGTAGGCCCTTTTACTCTGTTCAGCATTTGCCTCCACTGGCTTATCCCTATCTCCACCATGCTCTTTAGAATCAAAAGTATTCTCATTGTATTTATCCAAATTATGCTTTGCTTGCAGTACCCTACTTCTGAATAGTGTGTATGGTCACTCTGCATTTAGCAGGAAACTAAAATTTCTAACAATATTTCCAAAAGGTAACTCTTGAAGTTCGTGAGCTCATGAGCTCTCCTGTCACCAATGTGGCCATTTTCAAGTACTAGCTTGGACCATGGTTAAATATGCTGAAACTTAACAGGAAGATTAATCCTCTGAAGAGTTAATTTATGTAATAACACTTCTCAGGGGCTTTTCCCACATGACGGTGTGAGATAGGAAGAACTGTTTATATTACCATTTAGCAAGTGAAAACACTAAGACTCAGCAAAGTTGTTGCTTAGCCAAGGTCACATAGCTTCATTAAGGATGGAACTGGCACTTACTACTCCACCATTTCCTCCCTTTCCTTTTCAGGGATCGAGGGAGGAGACCAATTTGATTTGTCCTCTTTGGATGTCAGAACAATGTTTCTTTTTTTAAAAGAATATTTTAAGCTTTTCAATTCCGATCTTCCATTGAGACAAGTTCTTTATTCTTCTGCCAGGGAATTGTGACCTCCTGTCAATCAAGTATTTCTGTCTCCCTTTAACCCACTCTACTCTTGGATTTGAAAGTTGTCAGCAACACTGAGACTGCAGTCCATGTTGTCTGATGTGTGTGTGTGTAATGTTGGGGAAAGCCATTTCCCTGGTAGTAAGGAGGAGACGAATTATAGAATAATCCTTTTTTTTTTTTTTTTTTTTTTGTTTTTTCAACTTCCCTCTCAATCTCTGCTCAGAAAGTTTGACAATAGACAATGACAGAAGGAAAAAGAAAACTGTGATAATGGGTCTCAAATCACAATTTTAATTAAAATTAAATCTGACTGATAACATGAAAAACTGTGTTTAAATAGTAGTAATACACACAGGGAAGGAATCATTTTTTTGATATCCATGAAATTATGACACAATTTATTGGGAGAAAATATTCATAAGCTGAGTTTGTTTGCTGGGGCCACATCCTTTTCTGGCTTAGAATAAGAGCATATTAGAAGAGTTGATGTCATGCTGTCCCAAAGCGAACCAAGTAGAAAACTGCAAGGGTAGTTCATTGATGCTCCCAGTGTTTCTGGTGGCAGAAGGATGTGCTGTGGCGTTTGAGAAGGGAGCCAAGATGCCACACATCCTATGGTTCATGGGAAGTGTCCACAAGGAGGTCCTTTGTCCCAAATGTCAGTTGTTTCCCCTGTTGAGAAGCATGCATGTTTGACAGAACCCCTGCAGTGGTTCTCAGAAGGAACCTGCCAGCCTTCTGTGTTTTTCTCCTTTCCACGTGCCAGAGCACTCTTCTGTCACTGGCACCAGCAGGGAGCATCATCGGAACCACTCCATGGTTGTCCCTACGCATGTCCTACTGGCAGCTTTTACTCGTTCATTCTAACTGGAAGATTAATCCTCTGAAGAGTTAATTTATGTAATAACACTTCTCAGAGGCTTTTCCCATGTGACAGTGTGAGATAGGAAGAACTGTTTATATTACCATTTAGCAAGTGAAAACACTAAGGCTCAGCAAAGTTGTTGCTTAGCCAAGGTTACACAGCTTCATTAAGGTGGACTTAAAGTTGCCTTTTCTGCACGTATTCTGCCTATAACTGTTCATTTGATACTTGGAATGTCATTAAAATGAGGTAGATAGTTGGTGGATAGGTGGATCAGTGATTTGATTCATGGTCCTACTCCACGAGTCCCAAGAAAAAGGATCAAAGGATCATGGTAGAATGAGCATTTCTCAACTCAGGCATTGTGACTGACTCAATGGCCAGACAGATCCCCTAACCTGCTTTGTGTCCCTGATAGCCCTAGTGGAGAAACTTGCTGTGCAGAAAGAAGTGAGTGATTTATAGGCAGGTTGCTCAGCTTCTGATCCTGGCTCAATGCCATCATATATAAAAAGAGAGAGTTGGGAGAAGATAATTAAGTATTTCTTAATAACTCCATCTTTGGAAATTCTATGATAGCTCTTTTTGAGGGAAGAACTTCAATATTATTTATTACAAACATGGGTTCTAGAATTACCAAAATAGGCTCAACTTTTGGGGTTGCCTTTATAAACCTTATGATGTAGCACAAGTTATTTAATAGTGTGGTGCATGTTTTTTAAAAGTGCTTCATCCAGTGCCCAATAAACAGAAGGACCACTCAAATTGCAGTAACATTTATTATGCTACTTTCTTCTTGAATACTCTATCTAGTCTCTACTTGTACTTTAAAACTCTTTTAATTAAATGTGAGCCTCACTATGATAACACCAACTATTTATCTGTTCACTCAGGAAGAGACATCCATAAATGGAATTCTGTAGGATAAATCAGGACGCAGGACAACCTGAGTAAGATGAAGTGCATTCAACCTGAACTGCCAAGATACAGAGGCGAGAACACCAGCCTGTCAAAAGATAGGCCTTATAATCTATACTTTATTGCCATGTTGTCATATCACCTTGTGTAGGTCATTGAACTTTTCTGATTTCCAGTTCCCTCTCCTGTAAAAATAAAGAGCTTGGGCTGAAAACTCTCTAAGGCTCTTTCTACTTTGGTTTTGGTTCTCTGAATGAGTAGATGACATGTACAGATAACTTTATTGTCCTTCCCTTTCCTTTTTAGACTAGGAAGCTTAGGAAGGAGACCTAGATGATGTGATTTTGTTTCTCAACTCTTCCTGTAGATTCTGGGTATCACAGAGTTGTAGTCAAATCATACCATTATGTACTTGATAGGTCCTTTATCCGTGAACTTGTACTAAACCTTGTTCCCCACCCCTTACCTGTTGAGCACTTGCTGTTCTCCCTTTTCAGTATTATCTTAACTTTGAAACCTAATTCTTGCCTCTTGGACTCTTTTCTATTGATTCTTTTGTGTGATGTATATTAAACACATTTTTGTTTTAATTTCAAATATGACATATTAAACACACAGGTCTCCAATGCCTTCACACAAGCGTGGTGAACTGTCACATCATTTTCACAGGACTGCAAGAACAGATTCATTCATTCTTTCAATACTCTTTACTGAGCTGCTTTCCAGCCCCAGGCTACCTTTGCAGACCAATTATTGTGCTGGGGTTCAGACCCAAGTTGTTTAGATATTACTTCATCCTGTGCTCAGTTTCTTTGCTGTTTGGGATAATCACTAATCCTACAAATCTATAGTCTTTCTCCTTAGAAAATGCCAATAGATGAGGAAAGAAAAAGGCATATCCAGCAATGGAAAGGGGACTATGAGAGGGCATCATTATTCAAAGGGGCATTTGGTTTATTATTCCTGTCATGTCTGCTGCAAGAGGGACAGTGGTTAAAGATGAGTTTGCAAAGTTAGGTAACCTCATCTTAGAAAGGCCTTGTGTCTGTGCTAGGTTATTTAGATTGTGCCTCACGAATCAATTGGTGGTGACTTTGAGTCATGGGCATTCTCAGGGAATGTTAACCTGAAGAAAGGATCAGTCTTCTCTTCTGAATACATAGATTTATGTATACACAAAGATTTTCATACAGTATCATTGGGTTTGCAGACACTAGCCCCTCCCCTCCAACTTACTCCAACTTGGCTTCTGAGGTAGGAGGAACTCCTGAGGAAAAATATAGAATGTGTTGAAAGATGAGTGAGGCACTTTTGTTTTAATTTCAGGTATGACATACAATAAAGCATGCACAGCTGAAATATACGGCTTGGTGAATTTTTATATGTGTACACACTCCCAAGTAACTACTACCCACAAGGAATATACCTCTGGTAACCCACCAGGCTCCCTCCCTTCAGAGATGGATGTTCAGACCTTTGTCACCATAGATTAGATTTGCCTGTTTTTGAACTTCAAAAAATGCAATCATAATGTCAGTTTACCAATTTTTTTTTTAAAGAGAGAGAGAGAGAGAGAGATAATTAATATTTATTTTTTAGTTTTCGGCGGACACAACATCTTTGTATGTGGTGCTGAGGATCGAACCCAGGCCGCACGCATGCCAGGCGAGCGCGCTACCGCTTGAGCCACATCCCCAGCCCCAGTTTACCAATTTTTGACTGAGGTTTGTTCATATTGTTAGAAACAGCAGAAGGTCCTCTGTTTTCATTACATTATGTGTTTTTAAAGGATAATTTTGATGACTAGGTTACTAGAGAGAAGACCCTGAGGTGAAGAAATGTAACTGGGAGGTGGTTGCCAATTACCTTCTACGAGATTTGGCTGCCTGTCTTAGGTTGCAGTTTGGGAACAACAGGGAAGAACAGACCTGAGAACTGCTCAGTAGGGTTTATATCTGTGGAACTTTGGTGGTTCCTTGATAAAAGAGGGTGAGAAATAGAGGTCAGTTTTCTGGTTTGTAAATAATGAAAGGTTTGAGAGGTCAATTTTGGCACCTTGGATGTTAGATACCTGTGGACACTTGCAGGTCTAAGTGAATTCAACAGAAATAACAGCAGTGAAGATTAAATCTTTGAGAGCTATCAGTGCATCCTGGAATAGGAAGCCCAGGGAGCAATGGTAATTGCCTAATGACAAAGTTTGAAGCAAGAAACAGCCAAGAACAGGTCACTGTGAAGCTCCAAGTCTTCACAACCTTTAGGACAAGGAAGTCAAAGGTAGAGGCCTAAGCATAGTAGATGTTGGAGAGGCCTGAGAGAAAGAGTTAATAAAGCCAAGCTGGGCACAAGGTATGGTGTCACAGAAGCCCGTAAGTCAGAACTCTCCACTCCTACCCTTGAGAAGAGGGGGTTTGAAACTGCCTGTGCTCCCCAGCCACCCACTGTCAGCCATTCACTGTCCGTTTTCCTGACTTTATTCTTTTGGTTCCCCTCCTACAGCTTGGTATAGGTCCCTTCCTTAGCTACTACCCTTTCACAGTGAACTGCAAGGCTTCTTATGAGAGGCCGTGTTACTCCCTCTCATTGCTTTCCAAAATGTAGCAGAAGAGACCCTTTACATAGTAAGAAGTCCCTAAATGTTTGAGTTGCATTGTTTTAAGGCAGCCTTGAATTAGGTGGCCTTCCCTGACCTCCCTGCCTGAACCTCCTTGTGTGCTCAGTCTCCAGGCAGTGTTCCTGCCTTTTAGCAGGGGACAGAGATGGGTTGAAAACCCAGCTCTGCAGAGTATCAGGGCAACAAGCAGTTCCGCCTCTCAGGGAGCGCCCTTGTCTCTGGCAAGCTAGGTGGCTTCTTCCCTTACATAAGATGTGTGTTCTGGCAGGGAATAGCTGCCTGAGTGAGTGTTTAGCAAAAATGATTTGTGTGGAGTTATTTTGAGACCCCAGGGGAGGGAATAGCAGCCAAACCCTGCAGTATTTTAAACTGCATCACTCATCTACAAAGATTAATACGTTACAGCGTCTCAGCCAGAACATGGGAAAAAGGGAAATAAGAATGTTAGAGCCCCAACAAATGATAAATGCCAGTTCTCTCTGACCACACAAGGTAACCTCAGTGGTTTGGATCAGACTCAGTACCTCAAGATTCTCTCATATCCTTTCCTTCGTCCTGACTGCCCTATAGATACCAGGTGGATCTGGGTTCCCTTCTGAGGGGCTGGCATGCTTCCTCTGGAGGGGCAGTATCATGTCTCTCTATGCCCCGCAGAAGGACACAGAAGTGAGCTCACATTTTGTGGCAGCCCACATTACTGACATTATTAGTGTGACCTAGGGGTTCCAGACTGACTGGGAGAAATCCCCTATAAAGCATTCACCTCTCTCTCCTCAAGCATGAACAGCTGTCTACTAAGGCTGGGTGAATAATAGAACAGAGGACCTTCCAGTTTGGTGACATTAGGGGAGACAGCCTCCATATGAAACATTTCTCGTTTTTATTTTTCTCTTGGCTGATTTGCTTTGAAATTTGCCTCACCGCTCCCGCTGTCTTGCTGACAGCTGTCCTCTTTGCCATTCAGGAGCTGGTGTCTCCTAGGATGGATGGATGGGATGGAGGAGGCCTTCCTCCTCTCCCCCAATGGGTCCACAGTTGGATAGCCTGAGCATTTCTTATGTCCGGAGATCTAATTGTCTTCTCACCTGGAGGGACCCATTGGGCCTGGGAATGTCCACGCATTTGATAGACTGTGGAGGGCAGAGCCCAAAAAGAACAAACCCTATCCAGGATTGGCATTCATTTTGCTTTGTTTTATATTTTTAGAGGACATACAATTACTTTAATGGAAAAACCTAGGCAAACAAAAATACATCATTGTATCACAAAGCAAACCCAAACCATGTAGCCTCCTCAATTCCCCCAAAGTTCCCTGCAAGGACAAGCAGCCCTGTGTTTTTCTTTATAATTTAGTGGCCTTGTCACACGACTTTTATGTGTACCCCAACACTGGGTGTAGTAAGGAGGCACAGAGGAGTCACACTTCAGGGGAAGCATTGCTCATGCTTGCATGCATGCATCTGAGAGAGAGACAGAGGGCGAACAAGAGATTGACTGACGGCTAGATTGATTGATTTCCCTCCGTTTGCATCTCTAAGAAGCTAGTAACCACTGTCTAAAAGGCATTAGCTAATGTGGTTTTTCTCTTGTGAGAAAATGATGAGAATGGCCTGACAGAGAGTCAGGGTCATAGTAGAAAGAGAACTAGGAACGTGAGTTAGAATGCGTAGAGAGGCCAGCTTCTGCCCCGTGTGCAGCACGGGAGAGGGGATGGGCACACACCCTGGGGCTGTGGAGACGGCAAGAGCGTGCTGCCCCAGACCCTTGCCAAAGAAGGGGTGGCTCCTCCACATTCCCAGGAGTGCCTGCTCCACTCCACTCCACTCCACTCCACTCCAGACCTCACAGAGATTGAGTGCCAGTCTCCTTCTTCCCAAGTTACTGAGGTTTTTGTAACAGCTGTTATCTTTTACCTGAGGCTCCTGCATGTGATTCCAGCCCTGAGAGAGGCCATGGCTGTTTCTTCAGCCCCTCCTTCCTCTCCTCATTCCCCTTCCTTTTTTTCCCCCTTTCCTTTCCTCTTTGCCCTCCTTCTTTGGGTGAATGAGCACATACACATGCACCCATGCACACTCGCACCCTTTGACTGCCGTAACTACAAGGCATCATTGTCAGGATGAATGTTCTATTGAGAGCTATGTTCAGGAAGTTTTTCTCCCCCATCCCACTAGAAACTCCATGGCCACTTCTTCCCCTGTCCTGCCCTTATTAGAATCCTAACTTGGAGCAGGCTCCCACCCTAGATCACCCTTCAATTGTGCAGTGAGGTACACGCTAGAGCCTCCTCTCCCCAGATAACAAGCACAGTCTCACTGCACAGGTTAATCTCCTGTGTGGCTGCAGAAACCCCAGAAGCCAGTCAGTCAGGTACCTGATCTTCCCCTTACTGTCCTTCCTTCTCTTAATAAGTGTACACACCATGCCTTCTCCACATGCCGACCACAGTAGTGACTGAAATAGTCATTGCTGCAATCTCGCATCAGTGGACAGTAAAGGATGCAGAGAGCCTTTCTTTCCCTCTGGTCTCCCAAATGGGAAATAATCACTTTGCTAGAACAGTTTTTCCCTGAATTCCGTGAAGTGGATTCTAGGCAGTGGTTTGGATTTGCTGTTCCTTTTTATCCCTGAGAATCAGTGAAAGAGAGAAGGAAATGAGTAGACTGCTTGTCACAACACCACCAGGATCTCCACAGTGCCTGGGGCTGCTGCTGAGAGACAAAGAATGGAAATGGGCTGAAATGGGGGCCGAGGAGGCAGGAAGTCTCCAAGAGGATCAGGCTCCACCTCCCCTGTCTCTGAGGGTTTCCTTTTCCCTCAGCCTAGGGGTTCCTCCTGCACTAATGGAGCCAGCTCTGTCACTGCAGCATCCTGCTGGGGGTAAAAGTCCAACTGCTGGTCAGAGGGAGA